CGACCTAGAGAGCTGCAGGCAGATGGGCCAATGATGGCTGCCTCGGCCTTGTTAGATACCCACTGGGCGACCTACGTAATCACTTCGCCAGAGACATCCCACGAGTTCTGGCCGCCCACGAAGCCCCCGTTCCAGACGTCCCCCAACTCTGCAAAACCGACATTTCGCCTGAGACATCCTCAACAAACTTGTACAAAACAAATGTATCGCTTGGGGCGTCCTCACAATTCATTGGCTGCCTCGGCCAAGCCCCCCCCCCCTGGCTGGTTCGGCCACTGGCCGCCGCGCGCGCCCGGGGCGGATGGATTGGAGAGGGGACGGGTTGGAGAGGGGAGACATGGAGGGATGGATTGGAGAGGAAAGAGGAATGGAAGGATGGATGGAGAGGAAAGAGGAATGGATGGATTGGAGAGGAATTGGAGAGGAATGGATTGGAGAGGACAGAGGAATGGCGATGACGATGGTGATGTTTGACTTCACGCTAAAGCCGAAGCAGCCGAAGAGCCAATTCGGTCGCGGCCGAAGCAGCCGAAGAGCAGGCCCTAAAGCTTACTCGCATGGGTCGACTGGCGCGTACTCCCCGTAGCTCAGACCGAGCACGTCGCTGCTCGATTGGAACGGCCCCATGATCTGCGGCGAAAGGCCCGCGACCAAGCTCTGCATCGTGATGAGGGTCGCCACGAACGCGCGCACCGCCCTGATCTGGGAGTCGAGGTGGGCGATGATCTGCGCGCGCCACTTCATGGCGATCCCGCGCTCCAGAATGTGCGGCCAGTTCTGGTGGATCTGCAGCAATGACTTGTGATCCGCCAGTTGATTGGCTTGGTAGGCCAGCAACTCCTTGTCCTGCCCAAGCTTCTCTGAAAGCTTGCGCAGCATGGACGACGCACGGTTCAGGTGAAGCGTCGCCTGGCCAAGTAGCACCGCTGGCCCTGCGGAGGGCGCAATGTCCTGCCAGTATTTGCAATCATCGGAGATGTCATCACATGAGATGAGCTGGTTCGGAGCCTCAGGGTTGCAAGTGCTACTGGCAGACCCGATAGACCGCATCAGCTCTGAGCACATGACTTCAGCGGTGCAGCGCCGAAACAGAGGTGCCGAAACCATCGAGCCGAAACAGCTGATCGTCGGAGGGTCGCTGAAAGTAGATAAATGCCCGACGCGTTCCCGTGGGTAGTGAAGATATTAATGGGTGGTTCAATCCTGGTTCTGGGTACGGTGGTCGGCTGGGCGAATGATGATGATGAGGACGAGGAGGTGGAAGAAGGGGGGGGGATGGGAACTCGGATGGGGGAGGCGGAGGAGGACGGCGCTTTTGCACAGTGCCAGGCTGGGCCAGCCGAGGCGCCCGCGGACCGATGATCACAACGGCCGCCTTGCGCCAGCCGAGGCCTCCGCGGGCCCATGACACCCAGCGGCCGCCTCCCGGGATGCACGCCCGGCCCCTGTGGCAAGGCATGGCGAATTAAGTTCGGCCGAAGCAGCCGTTCACAAAAACCTGCTGGAAAATCTACGCAGCGTCATGCTGCCAGCGCCGCTTGGACGTGGCCCCCAGTTCCTGCCTGTAGGAGTCGCAGCAGGACCTACAGGCCTCGTAAATGCAATGGCGCCCGGGTTGGTTTTTACCGCACCACTTGCACATCGGCAGCGATGGCACGGTTGCTCCTTGCGGTGGCCTGTCGCCTGCCGCGTAGCGTGCAGCACGAGCCGCTTTCTTCTCTAGCCAGGCTGGCGCTTGTCGACTGCTCTGCTTCCACTCAACCCAAGCAGGAGGCGCGGTTGGTGGTGGCTGCGGCTGCACTGGCACGCTGCAGACATGCGGCTGTGGCATGCTGACATGGGCGTGCTGCGCCGTGGCCACATGGTGCGTCGCACATTGTGCGGCTTGTGCAGTCACGGTTGCAGCGTCCACCGCTTGCATCACGTCGTTACGGAGTGCTGCAACCGTCGCGTTTAGCTGTTTGATCTGCTCCTCGTAGGCTGCCTGGCAGGCGCTGCCTGGCATGCTTCCTGGCAGGCTGGTATGTGGGCTGCCGCCGCCGCCGAGCGTTGGCCGTGGGGATCCTGTGTCTGGCGAGCCAACGTCAAAACCCACATTTCCGTGGAATCTCGTCGGCGTACTCCTCCGCGGGCTGACCTGCGGGCTGCTGCCACATGTCGGCATCTTCTGGATAGCCCGCGGACGGCCACGACATGTTGTCATATTGATGATGGTCGTTGGGCTGTGGATAATCATACCACGGCTTGCCATCATCATTAATCTTATTATTGACCCAGGTGTCCGCCTCCTCCACTTCGTCGTGCATGTAGTCCGTGGCGGGATGATGTTGTTGATATGGCTCCGCGGAGCACTGACTACCACGAGCGTCGTCCGGGGCGTCACCCGTCTGTGGCTTTTCGTCCTCGGGCTGATAAAACATAAGTTTAGACCCGTTGCACATGTCGATCACTTCTTGTGCGGACATCTTCTCAGGTTGTTTGTGAGGTGGCCCCTCTTTCCGAATTGCCTGCCGAAGCTCGTGCCTGTACGGCAGATCGAAGTAGTTGGCCAGCTCAAACCAGTTGCTGATCTTGTGCAGGTGGGTCGTCATGGCCGTCGTGGCCTCCTCCGGGAGAACTTTCATCCACCATGGCGGTTAAGTTCCCTCGTGCTTGGTGAACTGGAAGAGCGCGCCAGGCGAGCCATTATCGCAGGATGTGATCGTTTTGTATGCGTTCTGGCCCGTCTGGTCCAAGAACACGGAATACAGGCACTCTGGATCGTTGTCAAGCATGTGCGTGATCCCGGCCCGCTTTGCAGGAATCCCTTTGCCATTCCAGCCGCTCTTCTTCGACGTGATGGAAATCTGGTGAGCTTCCATGCCGAGGTGCATGATGCCACACTGCCTGAGGAACCTCACGACGTAGAACTCGATCTCATTGCCTCGTTGCCAGGAAGTCAATTTCCCTTTATTGTTCGAGAAATCGCGTGAACAGCGTCGGTTCCATATTTCGCCATGAACAGCGCGAGGAACGAGTAGGCGCCGTCTGACATTGATTGCCAACAGCCATCACCTCGGGGTTGCGAATGCTGCAAGCCTTTCTGCCAGCACTAGGTGTAATTAACATCGATAAGTACACCTTTTGTGGCACGAGGCATGCATTCCAACCCGACACCGTCTGCTGACACACCCTTCTTGCTCAACACTTGGCCCACATCGATGCCGAGCTTCGGCGCCTCCGCATGCTGTGGACCGCCGTGGCCCCAGTCCATGGGGCGCGCCAAGGGTGCGCCGAAGCAGCGCTGCTTAAGCCCAACTATGGCAATTGAATGCGGAGGAGGAGGAGGAGGGGGAAGTGTGCGCCGTCTTGGACCATTGTGGGCCATCCTGGTGAGAACGTCATGGGCCGTCTTGGATCCTCCTGGGCTGTCTCGGCGCATCTCGGGCCGTCTTGGGAATCATTCTCGGGGCTGTTGGCGCCTGGCAGGGGCCTATGTGGGTGAATAACGGGCGCGGGATGGACAGCGGGGTATGGGGTGAGTGGAACCACTGCCACTTTGGCTCATAACTTATTAACGGCTTGATCTCTCGAGATCCGACACGGGGCCATCTGGCCACTACTACCAATTCGACGGAGGGCAATGACGAGCCACACGCGCATCCTCTTCGACCTGCCGACCCAGCGCGACGCAGTCGAGAACGCGCTCAGGGACGAGACGCAGCAGTCAACCATCACAACCGCGAAGGGCAGGTTCTGGGCCTACTTCATGGAGCTGAACACATGGCTGCCAGTGACGACTACAGCGCGGGTCGACCCCCGCACGCTGGACATCATGACCCAGGGTGCGACGATCAAGAATACGATCACGAAGGAGATGTCGGAATACTTCGGCGCCGAGTCTGAGTTGAAGATCTACAAGCGTTACGGGCAATCCCCTGATGGAGATCCCATTGGCGACGACCAACTCGTGAACCTCATCCAGTGGATCTACGTCCGCAAGACCCGCAAGACCGACGGCGGCGACGGCGGCGACGGCGACGCCAGCTCCGACACTCAGCCTGATCACCCGGCCGTCAACATACCCGAGATCGAGACGTGGGTGGAGGTACAACGACGAGTGGAAGAGGGTGATGTTGCCGAACCTCGAGGGGCCCACGCAGGGTCGCCTATTCGTCAACGTGAGCCGCTTGAAACGCAGGGCGCTCGAGGAGTTCGGGTTCACGGACATTGGCGAGCTCATCCTCAGGGCCGCCGACATCCACTACAACGACGGGGGAGATGCGGTGTTCCCAGCGCTCAGGCTCAACGAGCGCGTCATTCACCGCAAATGGTACTCGCTGGTCGTCGACAGGACCATGGTTGACTTCGCGCTCGAGGGTGAGCAGTGAGGTGCCACGGCGTTTTCGGCACGGCTGTTTCGGCCGATTCGGACGCCCCGGGGAGCTTGCGGGCGACGGTGCAGCCATTTGCGCCTTTGGGAGTGCCACCACTTGTTGGCGGCCGTCGCTTGCGTAGCCCTGTGCAATCAACATAGTTTTACCCGCGTGTTCATTGGGGCAGCCTGGAGAGTGCTATATTCAAGCCCCAACGCCAAGGATCGCGTGAGGGAGGGTGGGTTTGTCAAGTGCACCCCCCGATGCACTTGCGGTAGAACATGTTTTTGGCGAGCTTCCCCCTCCCTCGGCCGTCCCTCCAGGGTGAGCTGGCACTGGTTGAGGTCCAGGTATTTGTCTTTGCCAATGTCAGGAAGCCCCAGGCGAGAGCCGCATCTTGCAGAGGGCCCGCCATCCATCCACGCAGCTGGTGCACATCGTTGTTCTAATCACATGTTAAGATCCCGATGTCATAGAACAACTCCACGAGACGACGCGCCCGTAGCCATTCGGGTCAGTTTGATTTTCTGGTGCAGCAAAACCGCATTCAATTCACTACCCCACTTCCGTGGGCACCAGGGGAGACGCCATGGGCAAGCGCGGCCAGGCGACGAAGGAGAAGCCCGAGCCGAGAACGCGCCCGAGGATCGATAATAAGACCAGCGCCGCCGGGGCGGAGGCCGCCGCGGGCGAGATGGAACAGCGATCTAACAACGAAAACATGGTTCGCACCGTGATCAACGAGGTCCACGATGCGTTAAGCAAGATCGCGGAGCACCCGGTGTTCAAGGACATCGTTGGGCAGGAGCCGAAGACCATGTCGGATGGAGGCGCCCAGGCGCCATTCAAGCAGGCTGACATGAACGCTGTGCTGAACAGAGATGGACCTAGCCTGTTCTACAAATGCGGCCTCAATTTTATGTGGCAGAGCTCTCGCGTCGATGTGCAACCACCGCGCGCCCATCAACAAAGGCCAGATCAAGGAGCTCCAGAGGTTCGCCTTGGAGCCACTGCAGCCGCCCAGGCACATCCCCTTCGAGGCGGTGGTTGCGTTGGACTCAGCCACGCAATGCGTGGCGGGTGCGAAAGGTGCCTTGCAACGCTTGTCGCCCCCGGAGCCCGCCTTCGCGGTGATCTTCGGCGTCAGGGATGCAATCATTCAAGAAGCTGGCGATGACGTGTTAGGGAAATGGCGCCACGCGCTGTTGACGGCGTCGTTCAGGTTCGAGCTGGTGACATCAGGGGGCGATCGGTATTGGAGGGCCCAAAACCTCCGACAGGAAGCCGTCGAGATGGGCATCGTGTCCCATTTGTCCGTCCGCCAGTGGATCTACGACGTCGTTGGCTTCAAGGCTTCCAAAGAGAAAGACCTGGACAGGGAGTTGGGCAGCGCTCAGGTCGCGAAGTACTACCATGAGAAAATGAAGTACGCCAGGGGGACGGAGGGAGTCAGCGCGTCTTTCGTCGACAGCGCCCTCACCGTGCACAGGAGGGCCCTCAGCAACGAGACGGCGCGCCAGTGGCTCGAGTGGTGCGACGAGCACCTGATGGAGAAGAGCCCATGTAGCAAATCGATTTATGCGTTGCAGGCCTTGGTCGACCGTGCGCAGACGACATCTCGCATTACCTGGGCCATTTGCGGCCTCACGGATCTCTACCGCATGGACTGGGGGTCGAATTCCATGCCCGGGAGGGGGGGATCGAGCAGAATAAGGTTTTGGTGTTGAAAACCACGGTGTGAACACGTTAGACGAGCATTTTGATCTTGAGGGCCGAGGCAGCCCAAGGGGAAGCGGAGCTACGGGGGAGAGGATGGATTAATTTGGTTGGTTGCGTGTCTTGGGTTGGCCTTGGCCTGTCACACTGCCTGTGAGTAGCCCCCCCCCAGGACTCTATCACCGCGGGGGAGTTCGCGATCCGCAGGATGAAGGACTACAGGCAGAGCTACATCGAGGTCCTCAACCTGAAGCATGCCATGCGCGATGAGTTGCTCCAGACGTGGTTGCCAGGGATCGGTCTGCCAATCGAGCACGTTAAAAAGATGCAGGAGGCGTTCGCCGATTTTCCGAACGCGCGCGCGTCTGTGACAGGCTACCCCGACGAGCCCACGGTGGACACTACGTGGATGGTCGGATGGCCCCCATCTTCGGTGGCGGCATGCACCTTTCTGGAAGAGTGTATCTACACTTGCTCCTATGACGGCCGCTACAGGGACGCTGTAAAGTCGAAGGCAAAGGTTGCTGACATCTTGGAGTACGAGAGCGTCAAGCGCGAGATCGACGAGATCGCCGCGACTCTGGCCCAAGAGCGAGCCGCTGCAGCGGCGGCGAGAGGAGAGACCCCTGCAGTGGACCCAGCTACGCCAGCTCCGACAACTGGTACGACAACCGCGACTCCAGAGTCGAATGGCTCTCACAGCATGGAGCAGCAGGACCAAGAGTATTGGGAGAAGATCATCAAGAAGCATGTCCACGTACGTGGACATCATCGTCGAGAAGAAAACAGCCGCTGAGCTGGAAAACGCAATTCGCGATTCCACTCTGGCGGGCATCAGGGGCGATCCGACTGGTCTCGCGCTGTTTCACTTCGACGTCAAGCAGAGCGGCGAGCCCTTAACTCGCCCGGAGCTGCGGGTCGCCCCCCTGCGCGACGCGAACTACCACAGGCTGGTCAGGACCGTGCTGAACGCGCGTGCCCCGGCTGGCGGTACCCCTGGTCTACGATCTGGTGAAGTGGCTATCCTGCTCGACGGCGGCAGGAGTGGCAACTCCAATAAACTAATTGCCCCGTGGCGCGAGGGGACTTCGAAGGACAAGAAGAAACAGGACGATGATGATGAGGACGAAGAAGACAAGGAGGACGACCCCGACGACGAGGACGGAACTGAGGTCCTGACCTTCACCTCCTCTGTCATCAACATCGTCTACTCCGAGGCCAGCATCGCCAACCACCGCAAGAAGTTGCGCAGCTGCACAGGTGGCCTTCGCCAGTCCGAGTGCGCTCACATGTTCTCACATACGAAGGTCTCCCTGCCAGAGAGGTCACGGAAACACTATCCTGGAAGCACGTCGGGCGACGCAATCATGGGCGTCGAGGCGACCGAGGCCAAAAAGGAGTGGACCATGAGTTGGTCGGACAAAAAGGCGCTCTACGGCAAGAAGAACCTCATCGCTGTCGGCGGCGAGACGAAATGCACGAGCCCGGACGACGTGGTCGAGCGCAAGACGGACTCCACGCAAGTGCCAGTCACGCACCGCGGAATGCCCCCCGCGCGGTACGACGAGCTCATCCACATGTTTTTCTTGAAGGCCATCGTGGACTTGACGCCGCTGGGCGCCAAATTCGCTTGGCAGGCGGTGCTCAACCGCGCGGGGTACGTCGGCATCGCTTTCACCGAGGAGCACAAGACTATGATCTACGCGAGGCTCGTCGAGCAGATGAGGGCCGAGATGTGCCAGACGGGCTCCAAGCTCTACAACGCCCAGTACGCGAAGGCGGCAGGGCTCACCGAGACGCCGCCCCCAGTGCCACCGCCGAACCTCAAGCGCCGCCCCCGGCGCAAGCCCGTGGCGGTTCCCACGGCTGAGCCAGGCACTGGCGGGGATGGTGAGCCTGAGAATGACAATCCTGAGCCTGGGGATGATGGTCTTGTTGGTGATCCCGATCCTGAGAACGCCTGGGATCCCTTTGCATGATGCGGCATGCGTTGCCAGCTGGTTCGGCTGTAGCTGTGTTTTTCGTGCTGCAATAGGTCATGAGGACCATGGTGTGCAGCATGGTTGAATGAGGAGGACGGTGGAAAGGGGTAAGGTGATTAGAAGGAGGACCGACGATTGAGGATCCATCACCTTATTGTTTTTTCGTAGGATGCATTTCGCCAACATGGTGATCTGCGATCGCCTGGCTGATTCGGCCTCTCTTGCACGTCTGGGGAGAAGTCGCCCGGATGCTGTGGGTGAAAACCAAAACAACTATGTACGTAATGGCATGCGTTGTCGTTATTATCGAAGACGCCTACGGCGAATCACCGCCGCCCCCTGCCTTTTTGGAAGCGCCTATGTGGCCGAACGTTGAGGCCAGACCTGCCAAGCCATCAGACCATGTGATCCCCGAATCGGTTTGGAAAGCCTTCGGCCGTCTTGGAGGCCTTTTGGGCCGTCTTAGACCATCTTGAGGCCATCTTGGGCCGTCTTGGGCGCATCTCGGAGCCATCTTACCCGTCTTGGAGGCCATTTTGGCCGTCTTGGAGGCATCTTGGAGGCCATCTTGGGCCAGCTTGGCCGTCTTGGAGGCCATCTTGGGCGTCTTGGAGGCCTCTTGGGCCGTCTTGAGGCCCTCTTGGGGCCTTCTTGGGGGCCTCTTGGGCCGTCATGGGGCCATCTTGGAGGCCTCTTGGGTGCTGTTGGGGCGATGTTGGGGACCTCATGGGCCGTCTGGGGCCGTCGGAGAGCTGAAAAGAAGAACATGCCAAAATCCTTCAAAAACCTTAGGAAAATCAATGATTTTAACCTATTCGGGCCTTCCTGGAGGGCGTCTTGGAGGGCTCTTGGGCCGTCTTGGAGGCCTTTTGCCGGCCTTTTGGGCCGTCTTAGACCATCTTGAGGCCATCTTGGACCGTCTTGGGTGCATCTTGGAGCCATCTTACCCGTCTTGGAGGCCATCTTGGCCGTCTTGGAGGCATCTTGGAGGCCATCTTGGGCCATCTTGGCCGTCTTGGAGGCCATCTTGGGCGTCTTGGAGGCCTCTTGGGCCGTCTTGAGGCCCTCTTGGGGCCTTCTTGGGGGCCTCTTGGGCCGTCATGGGGCCATCTTGGAGGCCTCTTGGGTGCTGTTGGGGCGATGTTGGGGACCTCTTGGGCCGTCTTGGGCCGTCGGAGAGCTGAAAAGAAGAACATGCCAAAATCCTTGAACAACCTACGGAAAAACAATGATTTTAACCTATTCGGGCCTTCCTGGAGGGCGTCTTGGAGGGCTCTTGGGCCGTCTTGGAGGCCTTTTGCCGGCCTTTTGGGCCGTCTTAGACCATCTTGAGGCCATCTTGGGCCGTCTTGGGTGCATCTTGGAGCCATCTTACCCGTCTTGGAGGCCATCTTGGCCGTCTTGGAAGCATCTTGGAGGCCATCTTGGGCCATCTTGGCCGTCTTGGAGGCCATCTTGGGCCAAGTTGGGGCAACAAAGGCATTGACAGATGGATTTTCGGAAACTTGCGGGTGGCCGGCGGGACGGGCCGAAGCCCACTGGGGAGTTCTTTTAGAAAAAGAACCAAAACCAAAACCTGAAACATCCAGCACGCCGTGCACCCCTGTGGCAAGACCACAGGGGGCGGCGGATCGAAGACGCCTACGGCGAATCACCGCCGCCCCCTGCCTTTTTGGAAGCGCCTATGTGGCCGAACGTTGAGGCCAGACCTGCCAAGCTATCGGACCACGTGTTCCCCGAATCGGTTTGGAAAGCCTTCGGGGAACACGTGGGCATCTTGAAGGTCATCTTGGCCGTCTTGGAGGCCTCTTGGGCAAGCTTTGGGCGATCTTTGGGGCTTTTTGGGCCGTCTCGGGCCAGCTTCGAGCCAACTTCGGCCATCTTGGTGGGTTCCTGGCACGTCTGAAGCCGTCGGGAGCCGTTTGGGGGGCCTCTATGGGCCGACTTGGGGCCCGCTTGGAATGCTCCAGGGCCGTCTTGGAGGCCATCTTGGGCGTCTTGGAGGCCATCTTGGGCGTGTTGGAGGCCTCTTGGGCCCTCTTGGGGCCCTCTAGGGGCCATCTTGGAGGCCACTTGGGCCATCATGGGGCTCTCTTGGGGGCCTCTTGGGCGATCTTGGGGGCTTCTTGGGCCGTCTTGAGCCGTCGGAGAGCCGAAAAGGCGCAAATGCCAAAATCCTTCAAAAACCAAGGGAAAATCAATGATTTTGGCCTCTTCGGACTCTCCTGGAGGACCTCTTGGAGGCCTCTTGGGCCGTCTGGGAGGCCTCTGGGGGGCCTCTTGGGCCGTCTTGGGCCGTCTTGGACTCTCTTGGGCCGTTTTGGAGGCCGTCTTGGACCATCTCGGGCGGACTTGGAGGCCATCTTGGGCCATCTTCGCGATTTTTTGAGGATGTCCCGAGCGAAAAGGCCGTTTTTGGGCATTGACAGACGCATTTTGGGAAACGCGCGGGTGGCCGGCGGGGCGGGCCGAAGCCCACTGGGGAGTCCGCCGCCCCCTGCTTGCAGGGGTGCACGGCGTGCTGGATGATTCAGTTTTGGTTTTGGTTCTTTTTCTAAAAGAACTCCCCAGTGGGCTTCGGCCCGTCCCGCCGGCCACCCGCGCGTTTCCCAAAATGCGTCTGTCAATGCCCAAAAACGGCCGTTTCGCTCGGGACATCCTCAAAAAATCGCGAAGATGGCCCAAGATGGCCTCCAAGTCCGCCCGAGATGGTCCAAGACGGCCTCCAAAACGGCCCAAGAGAGTCCAAGACGGCCCAAGACGGCCCAAGAGGCCCCCCAGAGGCCTCCCAGACGGCCCAAGAGGCCTCCAAGAGGTCCTCCAGGAGAGTCCGAAGAGGCCAAAATCATTGATTTTCCCTTGGTTTTTGAAGGATTTTGGCATTTGCGCCTTTTCGGCTCTCCGACGGCTCAAGACGGCCCAAGAAGCCCCCAAGATCGCCCAAGAGGCCCCCAAGAGAGCCCCATGATGGCCCAAGTGGCCTCCAAGATGGCCCCTAGAGGGCCCCAAGAGGGCCCAAGAGGCCTCCAACACGCCCAAGATGGCCTCCAAGACGCCCAAGATGGCCTCCAAGACGGCCCTGGAGCATTCCAAGCGGGCCCCAAGTCGGCCCATAGAGGCCCCCCAAACGGCTCCCGACGGCTTCAGACGTGCCAGGAACCCACCAAGATGGCCGAAGTTGGCTCGAAGCTGGCCCGAGACGGCCCAAAAAGCCCCAAAGATCGCCCAAAGCTTGCCCAAGAGGCCTCCAAGACTGCCAAGATGACCTTCAAGATGCCCACGTGTTCCCCGAAGGCTTTCCAAACCGATTCGGGGAACACGTGGTCCGATAGCTTGGCAGGTCTAGCCTCAACGTTCGGCCACATAGGCGCTTCCAAAAAGGCAAGGGGCGGCGGTGATTCGCCGTAGGCGTCTTCGATTCTTTTAGAAAAAGAACCAAAACCAAAACTGAATCATCCAGCACGCCGTGCACCCCTGCAAGCAGGGGGCGGCGGATCTAGTGGCCTTCGGCCCATTCCGCCCCCGTGCCTGGATTGAGGGGTCTCTTCGGAGGGCTTTCGAGGCCTCTTGGGGGCAGTTTTGAAGCCGCGTTCGTGGCTCCAGGGGCTTCCTGGGGGCCTCTTGGGGGCCTCTTGGGGCCTCTTGGGGACTTAAAAGTTTGCCGACCTCCCGAGGGATTCAAATGCGCATCGCATGCATGGTTGGGGTTCGACATCCAGTGTCGCTTCCAGAGCTGCGAGAGGAGAGGACTAATCGACCCCTCCACTCGCAGCTCAAGGACGTCCTTGAGCTGCGAGTGGAGAAATCTGTTAGTCCTCTCCTCTCGCAGCTCTGGAGGCGCCCTTGAGACGCTGGGCGGCCCCCGAGGACCACCCCGAGCCATGCAAGCATGATTCGACTGGGCTCCCGAGGAGCCGACGGGGGCGAGCGGCCGTTTCGAGGACGTCCCCGAGCTGCGAGACGCCACTCCGAGGACGTCCCCGAGCTGCGAGAGGCCAATTCGAAGACGTCCCCGAGCTGCGAGAGGTCACTTCGAGGACGTCCCCGAGCTGCGAGAGGTCACTTCGAGGGCCTCTCGCAGCTCGGGGACGTCCTCGAAGTGACCTCTCGCAGCTCGGGGACGTCCTCGAAGTGGCCTCTCGCAGCTCGGGGGCGGCCTCGAATTGGCCTCTCGCAGCTCGGGGGCGTCCTCAGTGGCGTCTCGCAGCTCGGGGGCGCCCCCGAGCTGCGAGAGGCCACTTCGAGGAGAGGTCTGTCACACCCCGGTCGCCTCTCGCAGCTCGGGGCCCCGAGCTGCGAGAGGTCGAGGAGAGGCGCGTTAGACTTCTCGCAGCTCGGGGGCGTTTTCAAGGACGCCCCCGAGCTGCGAGAGGCCATTTCGAGGACGTCCCCGAGCTGCGAGATGCCAGAGGGCGCCCCCGAGCTGCGAGAGGCCAGTTCGAGGACGCCCCCGAGCTGCGAAAGGCCATTTCGAGGGCGTCCCCGAGCTGCGAGAGGCCAGTTCGAGGGCGTCCCCGAGCTGCTGAGAGGTCATCGCGCAGCTCGGGGACGTCCTCGAAGTGGCCTCTCGCAGCTCGGGGACGTCCTCGAACAAGCCTCTCGCAGCTCAGGGACGTCCTCGAAGTGGCCTCTCGCAGCTCGGGGGCGTCCTCGAACTGGCTTCTCGCAGCCCACGTACGCAACTAAACAGCATGGCATACTTGGGCGTGAAATGGCAGCGGGCCAAGAGGCGAGGCAGGGGGAGGGGGGGGGGGGGGCAAAGACGAGGAGGCAGTGAAACTGTCAGAAGCAATGTAGCATTGAGAATTCACAACCCCAATATGTCGGACAAATGACGGGGGAGGCACTGTAGAGTTAGCGGCCCCCGAGAAGCACTGCAGGGTTAGAGTTCCCCGAGAAGCACTGTAGAGTTAGCGTTCCTCGAGAAGCACTGTAGAATTAGCGTTCCCTCTCAGCAATCACGCTCAGAAGGTGGGGGGGTCTTGGATGGCTGGCAGCGGCGAGGCTCGCAGCCGCTCGCTCGCTCGCTCGAACCCGCAGCCGCTCGCTCGCTCGCTCGAATCCGCAGCACAAACATCAGAGCTAGCGCCTCCTTCTCCCATTCCTCCTCGTCAATCATGGCCCGACCTCCCCCCTTTCCCCATGGGCCGCATCTATAGCTGCATCGGCACATACCATTTAGGACCACTGAGCGGCTCGCCCGGGCTGGCGCGACCAAGCGATGGGGCTCGCCTGGGATGGCACGACGGCGCCGCCCAAAACTACGGTTAAGGTGCGCCGCCCACGGCGCCCGAAAGTAGTCAAGCTTGGCAGTAATTTTACAGGCTTGGACCCAACTTCAGTTGCAATGCGGCGCATGGGCGTGCCGTTCACGAACGTCTTCGCCAGCGACTCGGCCAAGCCCTGCCAGAAGGTCATCGAGGCTGTGCGCAATCCTGGCAAGTTCTTCACATACATAATAGAGCGCACCCCTGAAGAGGAAGATGATAGTGACGTCTACACGTGGACGCCACCGTGCCAGGATTTAAGCCAGAACGGTCTTCGTCAATGGGCCAAAGCAGACTGGCCAGCTTATCAAGAAGGCCATGCAGTACATCAAAAACAAGAAGCCCAGGGTGTCGATCTTCGAGAACGTTTTCACGCTGATCCACAAAAGGCTCAAGCCCGTGCTGGATGGCACCATCAAGGGCTTGCTCAGCATCGGCTACACTGTGAACTACAGCGTGCTCGATTCACGCGACTACGGCATTCCACAAGATCGTCGCCGGGTGTTCGTGGTGGCCATCAGGACAGACGCCATCAAATATCCATTCAATTGGCCCGAAATCACCAAGCCGTGCCCCAGCATCAACACGATCTTGGACGCGTGGAAACCCACCGACATGGCGGGCCGTCTGCCTACGGTCCAGCGCCAGAAGGATGCGTGCAAGACGGCCTACAAGGAGTGCTTCGACTACGGGCGCGACCCTCGTTCCACGCCCATCCTGGTTGACATCGACGCTTCGCCTAAATTTGCAACCTACGGCATCGACGAGGCCAGGGCCATCACCAGGTCAAGGGGCGGAGATGGTGGGCCTTGGATTTCTACGAGGGGGCGCCGCGCAACCCCGTCTGAGTCGATCAAGCTACGGGGTTGCGAGCTGACTGATATCCCGTGGACGACGCTGAAGATCAGCCAGCGCGAGTTGGGCCAGCTCATCGGCAACGCTGTTTCCGTGAACACGATTGGGGCAATTGTCGAGGAGGCCCTGTGGAGCTCAGGTTTGGTCGAGAAGAAGGTACCTTTCCCGCGCGGAGTGAAGCATCCGCCCGGGCCACCGCCGCGCAAGCCTTAGTTTTTTTCGTTGATTCGGCTGTTTCGGCCGAGTGCTGCGCACGCCCAGCTGCACGGTCAGCCGAATCAGCTCCGACCTGCAGGAGGAGGGCGGGGAAACGCACACACTCGTTATTCAGCATTCGTTCAAAAAACCTATGTAGACCTGTCGGTTGCCGCCCGACGTTCGTTTACATGTGAAGTTTGACCCTCCAAAGTGCAGAGTGCGATTGGACGTTCAGATCTGGCGATAGGGCACTCGGGTTACCACTGAGAGGGGCAGGGGGAGGAGGGGGGGAAACATGCAAGACACAATCTCTAGCCAACATTCGTTCTGAAAACTTATGTATACCTGTCGGTTGCCGCCTGACGTTCGCTTACATGTGAAATTCGACCCCTCCAAGGTGCAAGGTGTAGTGGGAGCATCAACGCTAATGTGATTGGACAGTCAGATCTGGCGATGGATCCCATCGGGTTGCCATTAAGGGGCGGGTGGGGTGGTGGGGGTGGGGGTGGCCCTGAACAACAAGTAAGTCCTCTGCCGCTCGCCATGCGGGCTCAATTCTTCGTCGCAGCACGTCTGCTTGGAGCAAGTAGTGGTCCTCAAGTTGGGGGCTGCACGCGACGGCCGCTGCAAGTGGAACGAACTTATCCAGTATGGGCGAATAAGTTCCCCATAGACCATGCGCAGCCAAAGTTGGGCACGTGGCTTGATAGCAAGCGGGCGAAAGGCTTGGGCGCGGGTTGCAAAATCTGCCGGGCTGCTGGCTTCACCACGAGCCCTTTCGGTGCGTACGAAGTTAGACCAAACGGCGCCATACAAGTTTGCAGTTTACAGAAGCACGCTCAGTGTGCCGAGCACAAGGCTGCCGTGGCAGCGTTCCTAGCTGGAAACCTTGATGTTGCGGCGTATTCAGTGATGCGCCCGAAGTGGGACGAATTCAAACAGGTTGCCGATGACATCGTTGCAGGCGGAAGTTTGGGCCATGGGACTATTGCGCGTCGGAGAATCCTGCGGTGCTTGAAGGAGGCCTTGTGCGCTGATGACAGAGAGGCTTTAAAGCCAGCTAGAGCGATATCTTTGTTTCGGGATGAGCGAAAAGGTCGGCTGGCTGTGAGATACCGAGCTGTAAATCAGAATTTGGATGAGTTCAGTGGCACTTTGGGCCAGGAGAGAGACTTCGGAACTGGTGCCACCAAGATTATGGAATCTACCTTCAGAATCATAGAGCGAATGTGCACTAAGTTCAGTGACTCGCCGAGACTCTGTCGTGCAACCCCCGCGTCGATGCCGAGCTTGATGGCCCATGTTCGGGAGAGTGTCATGTGCATCACCGTCGACTCAGCTGGAGATGAACTTCTCGCGAGTGAAATGATGTGCAACCAATCACTTGCTCAGACGGAAAGGGCGCTCACGCCAAACCTTAAGTTCGTGCTGCGCGACTCAGCGCACGCCTCCCGGCGCATCATTTCGCGACCCTGGAACGCAGACCCATACTTGAGAGATGTAGCGATGATGATGGCGCAAGGCCGCAGTTCGGTCGCCAAGCTCGTGCAGAACAGCACCGAGACATCGCGTGTGTTCGCTGGGTATGTCAAGTCTTCACAGAGCTCCGTGGTTACATCCGCGATAAGGAACATGCAAGCCGCATCGCATCGTTTTGAATATTGGCAAAAACCTCTTGGCCGCACTGCTCTCTTCATGCATGCGAGCATCGAGACAGCGATGTACGTGGCCAACCGCCCGGCCAAGGATGAGAACACCGACAAGGCCAAAGCGTGGCTTGCATGGGTGGACAGCGAACGATGTTTAATGCTTGCGATGATGGCAGACGTGGCTGACGAAGGGATGTGCTTGACGAGACTGCTTGATAATGAAGACGTTGGCACCGCCTGTCTCAATTCAGAAGTGCTCCTGTTCATCAGAAAGGTCGAGGCAATGTTTGGTGAGAGCGAGCGGTGCTTAACTATTTTCGGTTACACTTCGGTCATGATGAACCTCCTCAACGAGTACGTGGTTTGGCACGTCAACGACGACTCTCGGAGCATAGGTTTCGAGCGCGGTGTCCCTGGCGACATTGTCAACAGGTGCATGGAGAGGATGAGGTCTTACGTGGTCCTGGCGCGCGCAGCACTGGCAGCTGAGTTTCCAAGTTTCGAGATGAGCCAGGTAACCAGGGTTACGTTGATAAGTTGTCGGGGCTGTATTGCTGCTGGTGTTTTTCGTTTCCGGTCGGGCCCCATGCGGGGCCCCAGGGGGTGATCTCAAGAGCAGTGGGGCGTGCGCCATGACCACAGGCGTTCCAAGTGTTCGACTTGTCCACCACGCACCCCCGGGCGGATGTGCATTTGCGGCGGATTGCTCAGGCATTGGATCGCCGTGTTGGCCGCAACGACCGCCGCCCCCCCCCGTGCCGCGCCCACCCCCGAAAGTTGAGTTCAGCCACATGTCAAGGTCAACGTTGCCCGCGAGACATGCCGGGCGCCTGTTCTGCCAGGCCGCGGACATCAATCCAACTAGGCTGCAGGTTCAGTGGGAACATGGGTTCCCGAGGGCTCGCCAACAACAGCAGAGAGGTTTGTCGAATAAGGAAGCTTGGAGATATGTGATACAGAAACTAGGGCAGCAGAGACTAGCGCTGCGGCACGACATCGACGATCTGAGATCAGCTTTGGTTGCATATGTGGCCTTTGGAATGAGCACGTCGGGGGTGGAGCAGAAGTTTAGCCTGGCTGCGCTCAAGTTTAACTGTCGCCAACTCTCCTCAGACGCGCGCAGCGAGGACATGTTTCTCAAGATCGCTCTGGACTTGCCCAATCGTGACCTCAACAAAGTCATTGACAGTGCCCGGCGGATTTGGCTTGAGACCTGTGGGCGTCCTGTAGTGAGGAAGTTTCCGCGCGTCGACAAAGGGGTTAAGAGACCACGAACAGTGATGAAGGAAGGCGAAGCCGAATTCATTCGTCAGCGCCGCAAGGCTGCGAGGCTCGCTGTTTCGGATACAGTGGCTGGCGATTCGACCAGGGAGGTCGGACCAGGCTCGAACTGGGGTGCCACGCACCAGAAGGAGCTCGACTTCTTGAAGAACAAGCATAATACCAAACGGTGCATTGCATACTCGGAGAACGTCCTCCTACCACAGGAAGTGACGCATGCTGTTTGCGAAGACGCAGCCGCCAAACACAAGAAGCAACTTGCTGATCAATTGGCCAGGTCGCGTAAGACCGAGCGCGCGCGATTGGCCGCGCTGGGCGCGCCAACGGCCAAGCTCCTAGAAGCTATCAGGGGGAAGCCTGTTTTCGTGGATATACCTTGCAGGTCGCCAGGTGGCGGCCGCACTCATCGCGCATCGCCTGAAATCAGTGCGGATGCACGAGGCTGAAGTTTTTGTTGCACGACACCAGGGCGCGCTGGCCCGTTCATTACGCTGCATCGGCGTTCAAAGGGGGATATGAAGTTACCCCCGGGCTTTTAATTTCAAGCCGTTTTGGCGCTGGGGTCAAAATGCTGCCAACGTACCATTTGAAGAAAGTAACGTTTTTGAGCACCGAGTTCAGAGACACGCAACGTACGTTCTGCGAGTTTGTACAGAACTTAATCAGGCACACCCCAGGCTGCAAATGGAGGCTTGGCGGGTTTAACTGGCCAGCGTTGAAGAAGGCGCACGCGCCCGGCAACCTCTTCGCACTAGTCTCGCCGCCAGAGGTGGCACAACCTGCCTTTCATAACCATCGGAACACATTCACGGTCGATTCGTTCTTGACGAGAATCAGGTGTGTTTGCATGTCCAGTTCTGTATCGGGCTTGCGGTGATGCTGTGGAAAAAATGCTTGGGCATCAATGCCAATCGGTATGAGGTCGAGTGGGTCAGACTGTGAATTATGAACTTGAGTGTGTCTGAATATGAGTGAGTATGCGTCGTCACGTTCCGTAGCCATCTTGTGTTCAAGGCTGCCAAAGTATCAGCATTCATTGGCGGATTGTCCAGCCCCACACAAAAATGCAAGACGCAATGTCGGTTTTCCTCAGCGGCCGTTCGGACGATTACGTTGACCTCGACCAGGACGGCGTCATCCATGCGATTCGCTGAAGCAAATGTGAAGATGCGCACATTGGCGGAGGCGGCGCACATCCTGATTGACGACGACACGTTCCAGCATCACGTGCACAAGGACTTCAGCGACCTGACCCTGATCGCAGTCCAGTGTCCGGGCGCTGACGGCCGCAGCGACATGCTGATCATGCTGACCGAGAAGATCGAGCGCACCCAGCAGATGTGGCGGGCGGCCGAATGGGAGTTTACCACTGGGCTCAAGAAGGAGATGGGACGAACTCCACGGTAAGCGCCAGGGCGAGTTCAGCGAGAAGTTCGACCAGGGCGAGTTCCGCAGGGCGGCGAACGCCTTCGGCTTCGCGGTGGCAACTGGCGCCGACTGGGTCGCCACGTCTGCCGCAGCCTACCCGCCCATTGAGGACCGCAGCCGTTCGCCGCCGAGCCGTGCACGCACGCGTGATGAGGGGTTGGATTGCTCTGACATGTTGGATCCGATGCCGCTTTCGGACGATGACACGCAGAAGACGTTGCCATTGAGGGGCCCCTGGGAGTCCGACGAGGATTCAGATAAGAATTCGTGCTTCGTCGTAGGGGCGCGGGATTTCTGCGGCTGCTTCGGCCGCGGCTCTCTGGAGCGCAAAGGAAAAAACTTACTTCCTTCTCCTCATCCTCATCCTCCGCGCCCCCCATCCCTCCTACGCCCTCCCTTTCTACCGCCATCTCCTCCCTCCACGACGCGTGCGCGCTCCACTTGTCCTCTGACAGTTGAGCGACAACCGACTTGGTTGGGGGGGTGCCCCATCCCCCGTGGCTCCGAGACGGCCCCTGCGATAACCTGAAGCATCGCCATCCGCATTCAAACGCTCATCGCGGCCCCAATGGTTGGCCCAACCATGATCTACGCGCTCCTCATTGCATCGTCATTCGCCCGCCCGTTCCAGCTCGGGTTAGCCCGGGCCCAACGATTGCCGCCGCGACCAACCGCATGGCGGCCGACGACGGCGGCGCCAGCATCATCTACACCTTGGCAATGGCCATCCTCGTCGGCGGCGCAGTCCAGAGCGCGATTGCGATATGGCTCTGGGAGCGGCTGCGCCCGAAACGTCCGACGCCGACTGACGCAGCGACCATCCACGTGGCGGTGCCGACGCCGGCCGCCGCCATCCACATGGCGGCGCCGCCGCCGACAGCGACGCCGACGCCAACGGTGCCGACCGACGCCGCGGTGCCACCGCCGACGCCAGCGGCGCCGACGCAAATGCTGACGACGCGAACGGTATCTACGCAGAGCCAAACCACCTACACACGGCGGTGGAGTGAGCCGAGGCCCATGCCGCTCCCGGAGAACTCTCACGGCGTAGGGCTGATCGACCCTTTTTGGAAACCGCGCCGTGGCTGACCCAGGACACGGCGGAATTTGCACGTGCGCTGGGAATTAACGCATCGGCTGCTTCGGCCGTAGCACTGAAAAAAAGCATCGCCATCGCAACCTCCATCTTCGCTCTCTCGTTCCTCCGTCTCGACTTCCCATTCCATCATGCGTCCTCCTGCCCCTCCCATCCCTCCCCTGCGATGCGAGATATCATTGGTGGTCCACTCCCCCATCCTCCTGCCCCCCCCCCCCCCCTCTCTCTCAGTGTGATGCTTCGCCGAGGCCCGAGAATATAAGGTCAGCACGGATGCCCCAGAAGGACCCATTTTTTTCGTTCAGCCATGATAGGCTCAGCATGGAGGCCCGAAAATGACCCGGTATATGTTCAGCAAGGAGGCCCAAACATTACCCATTATGGGTTCAGCTTGAAAGGGCCCTCCTCCTCATGCTTTGAATGGGCCCTCCTCATCATCAACACCCCCTGCTCCAACGCGCCCCGGGCCACCCCCGCTCGGGCGTGGGCGGGCCGTTGGCTGCTTCGGCCACGCCTCTCTCATCCTCCCTTCTCCTCCTCCGTAGCCTGTTTCTGTATCAATGTGAACGGGCTCCACTCGTGTTTAATTGCATGGCGCCAATGGACGGGCCGCCCCATGACTGGGGCATCGTGCGCGGCGCAAGTGGCGTTCGATGCCATGTGGTCGGGCGCCGCGGCGGGCCCTGCGCCCCCCGCCCGATATTGGCGCCGAGGGGGCCGGGTGGCCCGACGCCTTCCGACGAGGGCGCGGCTCAAGCCATGAAGACCCACCGGGAAGTCGACAAGGCGCATGCGGCGGCGAAGGACACGGTCAGCCACGTGAGCGGGATTGGTGCCATGGTCAAGATGATGGGGCAGATGTTGGCTGCGCACCGGAAGATGCTCTTCATTGCCAAGAATGTCTTGCCTGGGCATGGTGATCTGCGTTATGCTGCTCCGCTCCGCATTTTGCTGCCCTCGGCTTATCGGTTGCGGGCCAGGCTGATCAGGGGGCTAGCTGCCCAAATGGACCACATCACGGCGATGTTGATCCAGATCGAGCTTCTTCAGAGGATTGCGGAAGATCCCGATGACGCCGCAGATTCTGCGTTGGGCCCGTGGGTCGACGACGCCGGCGCCGACGCCGACGCCCGCGGCGCCTCTGAGGCGGAGCCCGCCGCGGCGCCAGGCAGTAGCTCACTGCGCCGCAAATCGGCTGCTTCGGCCGATATAGGTTTGGACAAATATGTATCCTCCTCCACTCCCCCCCCCCTCCTCCTCTCAATCCTGCTTTCCTTCCTCCAGCCTCCGCTTCATCGTTTTTAACGAGGAACGTGTCATGCAGTCCTCGAAACGTTACGCGGCGGCTGGACTATGATCACTCTCGCTGCCCAGTCCGCCAGCTGCGTCTGCAATGCCAGGCTACCTCCGCTGATAAAGGACTGAGAGGGCCTCGGGCAAAAGCTCTTGAGCCCCCCCCTCTCCGCTGTCGTTGGGGATCAATGAGGCATCTATTCGAAGCAGAGAACACAATCGCGCACAAGTCTCTGATGCACGTGGAAGTGAAAAAAAACGACCCGCCCCGCAGTTCGTGAGAATTAAACCCGCTGATCACTGCGGCAGGCGGGCGCGCGGGCATGGCCGAAGCAGCCAATGGAATCGTGCGATGCGGCAACCCTTCCCCCCCTCCCAGTGAACCTTCCTCACCACGTTTGCACCCCTTTGTTCTGCTTGTCCCAATCGCTGCAGTAGGCGTGGGCCATCTTTACTAACATGTATGTGTCGATCTTCGGGTCGAAATCCAAACGAAAATGAACTCTCGCCAACTTCACCCATTGCCCCCTGTTGTACGCAGTACGATCCCATTGTGCAAACCTAAGGCGTTCGGGGGGTGTTAGGTCCCCCTGAGGGATCCCATTATCATATGTATAACGGGCCCATGATGGCACCCGGGGGGGAGGAATCTCCTCCCCCATGGCGACTTGAACCTGAATGCTATGATATATTGTGAGATGATATGAAATGCTACTGCGCATCACGCATGCGCGTGCTCGGGCGCGCGCTGGGGGGGGGGGGCAATGCAATCGCCCGGGGCCTCGAAAAGGACCCCTCGGGCGACGCGCATGCATTGCAGGCTTGCGGTGTCGATGCGGCATCGCACTTGGGAGCGCAGTGCGCTCGACGCTGCGTTATCGCCATCATCGCCACGTTAATGAATGATGTGTTGATATGGGAAGTAGAGAAGGATGGGGAAGGGGACGTGATGGGGAAAGCTCGGTGCCTCCTGGCGGACACTTAAGTTTGAGGGGAGGTCCCGAGCACTTAACTTAATTGTACCTGCTATCCAAATATAAACAACCACATTTGTTTTTATTGAAACCGGTTGCCGACCACATCGGAATACCAAAGCTTTAAAACTACGTTCAAATCAAGGTAAGATGAGAACCATCCCTGCCAGCCTCGCCGCTGGTCGGGGGTGGCCGATCCAATGGCGCCTGCCCAGGGATCCTGGACCGCTGCTCGCACGACCTCGCGGCGCTCGGCTGCGTGTCGCGGCCGCCGGGTGCGCGGGGGGCGCGCGCGGGGGCGTCGTGCCGCGCGGAGACGTTCATGTGCTCGCGACGAATTTCGACCCAGTCTATACCGAGTTCGAGCTCACGATCCATCCGGTACGCGTCGTAGACAGCGCGGGCCCAGGCTTGCATGAAGTCCGAGCACGTCTCAGGTGTGTTGAGTCGGGGGTTGCTCTGATAGCCTCCCTCGATGTCCTGATTCTGGGCAGCTCGCTTGGACCACGCATGCCATTTAGCGTTGAAGGCGCCTCCAAGTGTCTTTTGCAGGCGTGCAATTTTGGCCTGGATCGCTTCGCCCTTTTCCACGTCCGCGGCTGCTAGGGGGCATCTGTACATGGGGCCGCCACCCTTGGGGTCGTGAAGGTCTTCG